ATCAAATAAAATGCTTCTTGCTGGTAATCAAGGCTAAAGTCAAGCCCATTTTCTCTCTTCGTGCAGGCTCCGATAAATGATAGGTCATTTGAAGGCAGAACAGATAGCTGCTTTACTGTACGATCTGGTTCCTGAAATTTAAAGATTAGCGGAGAGGGTGGCAAGAGGAAGGCTGGGGTTCCCAGAATATCATCGTTGTCCCATCACACACACACACACATACAAATTCTTTTATTTCAACCTCGAATACCAAAGAAACTAAAAAAAGACATTAACATCAATTTGTCGTCTTCCACATTCAGTTAAATAGCAGTTGGCAAACCACAGAACGGTCCTGGTAAGCAGTGGCTGAGTGGGGAAACAATTTCACAAATATGTTTGACAACGTAGTTTTCAGGGCGAATAATTCCGTGGCGCTTTCTGCTATCACTTAGCATGTGCATGGTTCAGAGCAGCTGAGCGGAGGTGTTGTATTGAGATATCTTCCTCTGTGGTCAGATGTTGGCTCAACTTTAAAGAATCTCATGGTCCTTGTATAGCAAACAGCATTTACAGCACACAATTACACTTTAAACACAGACATGGCTCGATTCACACAGCCTTCAATTGGAAGTCCGTCTCAAGGAACAAATAAGCTTCCTGCAAATGTATCAGTCCCCATTGAGTCTGAAGGATGAGTCCTAAGCTGCTTTCAGACATGCACTCAGCACTGGGGGCGTCTTCCTGAAACTTTCCGAATGAGCTCTTCGTGTCCGAGTCAGTTGCTCCAGACATTTTACAGAACTTTTCCTGCCAGCGCCCTGGTAAAATGTGCGGGCGATCCCATGTGAGAATACAGCAGGAAAATGTCTGTAAAGTTCACAGCGATCGAGTGACAATGACGTTTCTAACGCACGACAGAGGCACGACTGACAAAAAAAAAAAGAATACAAATATCTTAGCTGCCACACAACTAGAAGACATAGACTGAGATTTCAATTTGGAGGGAAAACAGGATTCGAAAGCTTTTGGCGATGACGTCTGATGCCAGTGTCAGTGAGCTGAAACAATAAAATCTTGATTTCTGCAGCAGAGTTGATACATTGTGCTCTGCCTCCTGTGAGCTCTACCCAGACCTTATTTGAACACAGGAGAGAGTTTCCTCCTCAAGGGAACACGTCTGACCCAAATTTTCACACATTTTCTGGGGTTCATGTTGTTTGGATGTTGTTTATTTTGCCTCTGAAGCACTTAACAAAGCCATTCAAATCCCCGGTCTGTTATAACCCTTATCCACAACGGATCAACGACTGACTGAAAATAAATGAATAATTAAACAGAAGCAAAGTTTTCACTTCATTATACAAAAATGACATGTTTGTATAGTCAAGTGTTTGGACTACAGAGGGTGATAATACTGTATATATATAACCATGCACATGCTATATATACACATATATATATATAACTGCTCATGTAGTTCGGATATGCGACTAAATTGACAGAAACAATATCTGCTTTTAAATGATCTGTATCCGTTTGGAGTTTTCCTTGCTCAGTTTGAAACGACATTGATTCTCTAAAGGTTTATTCACTTCTCATCCCAAAGACATTAATAACCAGTGGCTGGTCCCATGGTGCTCTGACACAAAGCAGCCACTGGCTGGTACTTTACCCCCTCCTGACATCCCACTAGCCCAAACACGCCTCTCCCCTCCCCTCTCCTGCCCCCCTCAGTCCTTCCATTCCATGACTATTGTGCCCTCCTTTTCACTCATCCTCATATCACCCATAACAAATGGGTCCCGTATTTCCCTCTCTCTCTCCTCCTCCTCCTCCCCCTCCTTTCTCTTATTTTCTCTCCCTCCCTCTCTCTCTTTCTCTCCCTCACTCGGTGCCGATGAAAGGCAGGCATTGAGCCGGCAGTGGCATTCCAAAACCTCAGGCCTCGGCTCCAGTGTGTCTGGCTATTCAACACTGCTGGGAGCCATTAGTTTAAGTAAGGCCTGACCCGCCTACTCACCCACGGAAAACCCTCAGATCTCCTATTACACTCGGCACACAGACGGGAGACACACGGCTGCTCCTCGGGTGCAACGGGTGTGTGCATTTGTGTAAATACAAGACAGAACCCAAAAAAATGAGTAAATATACAGAAGTGTGCAGGGAGGAGGGAGACAAATGTACGTGTGTTTATGAGTGATTGGAAAAGTGAGTGTGCCGGTATGAGAGAGACAGAATAAGAGAGTTGCAGCATGTGTACTTAAAATTTACGAGCAGTGGGTCACACGCTCACTTGGCTGCATCTTCCTAAAGTTTCCACGCAGCGAGGCCAAGTTCGTAGCCAGACGCCAAACGCTCCTCACCAATAACTCGCCTTAAACGATATTCAATAAGCACGCACTTCTCTAAGTCTCTCCAGCAGCTCTCTTGTTTAACTTATGTACCAGAAACACTGTCAGTTCTCTCCATCTGTGTTACTCACAGCTCACAATCCATAAATGCACCAATTTTGCTAATTGGAAAATGATACCTCGGATCAGAACCTGCTCCTTGATGCCTGCCTCACACAATTGTCGGCACGTAAACATGAGTAGTTCTTATAAACAACCCAGTGTTTGGGAGAAGCTGTGTTAAAGTATTGTGCGTTCACTAAGATGTGGCTTAGCCCACACACAGACACAACACACACACACTGGACGTTTCTCTTAGTGCAACATGCTTCATTTTAGTGACAATACTGAATATTGTTCACAGCTGTCCAGTAAAAGACTTGTAACTTGCCATCTCTTTTCTTTTGAGTAGGGAATTAATTATGGTCCAAATCTGAATTCAATCAACGGCATCATTTATAGGTTAACACAAGACTTTGTAAATGGTGTCACACTGTCGCTGCTTCAATTAAAAGCACATTGCTAGAAGGCTGGAGAGAAATGTCTTTGCTAGAGCTACGTCCACAGTTACATGCTTTTCATGTAAATGCAAATGACTCCCATCCAGATGAGCATTTTAACTCCATATCAGAAATAATCTCTGTTCATACCCAACAACATAAATCATTGCCACAGATTCCTTGAATAATAGCTTGCCTCCTATCAATATAGGCAGGTACAGCAAGATGAAATGCAGAACAAACTAGAAACAACAACAAGGTCAGCAGGCTTGTATTTCGTTATCCATATTGATTCACAGTTTAACTGATATTGTTTGTTTTCTTATGGTAAAAGGTCACGTGACAAATCAGGGAAGGACACGTTGGGACTGATAAGACTTGATCAGGAAGCATAAGTGTCTGTGTCATCATTTCAATAATAACTGATGCCAAACTTTTTGTTCTTCTCCACGGTCATGATCAGAGTCACAAACCCAAAATGGAGAAGCTGCGTTCACCTGGGTGTCACATTTGCCGAGTAAATGCCGATTGTATCCATCCCCATTGCAGACAAAAGCCAGATGTGAGCAGGTGTTATTAGTTTTTTTGAGCAGTGGAAAAGTTTCTGCCCGTCAAGCATTAAAATGCAGCACGTTTCTAAAAGTCTCAGCTTTATGGGTTTGAAAACTCTTTTAAAAGAAAAACATGTGAGAGTGTATGTAGCCTGAAAGGCAGGTGACAAAAACACCTCTACCATATAATGTTACTTTAAACTTTATTTTTGCCTGATGTGCGTGAAGCCTCCTGCTACCAGCAGTTCTCTTTATATAAACCTTCCATCTCTGGCTTTCGCTCCCCGAGGCTGCAGGAGCAGCTGTGTTGTGCTCTTCCCTGTCGATGGCCACACCTGTGATCTGCAGGTGGTTCATCTGGCAGCAGAGCCGGGAACACCTGGCCCGGCAGAGATAGAGCCTTCAGGCTTTACTCTGTGTGTGTGTGTGTGTGTGTGTGAGATAGTTTTTGGGATTTCTGAAGGGCTCAATTAAAGCTGAGGGAAGATAACGGCTGGCTTCACCCCCCCCCCACCTCCACCTACACGCACACACACACACACACACACACACACACACACACGCTGTGGCATGTGTTGGCATTTCCCAAGGTTAATGTTTGGACTTGTCAATGCTTCCTCAAGTGTGCGTGAGGAGTTTGTGGGGAGAGGGTGAACTTACAGTTTTACTTGTTCTGCTTTTCTTTTTTCAAGACATAACAAATTGAACCGAACCTCCTTCTGCCTTCAAAGTGGTTCCTGCTTGGTTTACCGGATCAAATATGTCCAAACAGAGCGACGGGAGGCTGTAGCAGCACCTGCTTTGTTGTTGTTTTGCAGATCCGCCACGGGTCTGAGGTCTCACTGCAGCACTCTGCGAGGACAGAGCAGCAGAGACAACAAGCAGAGACACCAGCTGAGGACAAGGCACATAAACAACAGCACCCAGCACACATTCCTCCCTGGGAGCAAGAGCAGACACAGTGCCGTACAAGTTTCTGTGTGTGTGTGTGTGTGTGTGTGTGTGT